GACTCAAAGAATGCAAAACTAAACAATAAAACACTAAAACAAACCAAAGGACTCAAAACAGCCCCAAAACACTCAAAACTGCCTTAAAAACACAATTTGGGCAGTTTTGAGCACTTTGGTGAATTTGGACGAATTTGTGTAATAAATTGAATCAAAACACTTATAAACACAAACTAAGACACTTTCTAACTAAATTGGACACTAAAGTAAAGGGGATTGAGGTTTTGACGAAATTAAACTAAATGCACAGATTGTAATAAAGGGCAGATTCTAAATATGAATTTGATGAAAATATGGATGATGGAATAGTTAAGGGGTTCATCTCCACACATGCCATACTTGCACACAAAACGATTTCTAATTGCTTTTCAATAACCCATGAATTCTCAACGCCCTAGATTAACCGTGAATTGCACTAATTAACCCTCAAATTTTCCTAACGTTATTGAATTGGATGATTGCATACGACAACCCAAAGCATTCCCCACAAGTTCCCTACATGAATTGCATAATAGAGGTACAAGCAAGAATCATTAAGTTCTTTGAAAACCATAAGCATTGACGAAGCACTCGTTACTATGAATTGCATGAAACTTATGCCAAGAATTTACTTAACGCAATTGAGGTCATCAACTTTTACTACTTGTGAATATAAGTTTGTAATGATTAGGTGAAACTTCCTTATATCCTAGCATTAGATTTACGCATGATAATTAAGCGTGCACTCTCAACCAACACACACAAATCAATTTAATTCAAATAGATAAGTAAATTGAATTCACAACTTATGAAACGCAATTAGAGGTAATCAAATCATATAGCAAGCATGATCATGGTTTCGAATCCCCCCCTAGCCAAGGGGGGTTTAGTTCCTCATACGTACAAGACAAAGATAAGTAAATTTAACCATTGAAATCAAGGAGAGGAAAACACCTAAAAATTCCAACAACTCAAACTTGAATTGTATGAACGTTTAAGCCTTCTTCTCCTCCTCTTTGTTGCGGCACAAGGGTTTGTTGTGAGTTTTGGGGGTTATGGATGGTGTAGAATGATGTGTTTAGGATAGGGATGGATGTAGGGGACGGCAAGGCTTATTTTTGGGCAGAAAATATGAAGAATGGTGAAGTATGGATGTGTTATAGAGAGGGGATGAATTTCTGGCGTGAATGGTGAATGAATGAATGGTTTGTGGCTGCAACAAGGATGTTTATTTATAGGTGGCTGAATGATTAAAGAGGGAATGCATGTGGAATGACAGCTAGGGAGTGAATGATTAAAGAGGGAATGCATGTGGAAGTGTGGTTGATTGTTTTATGAAGGGGGAAAGCTGGAAATGGTGTTAGAATGGTGTTTTTGGGGTGTTTTGCTACCTAGGTTCTCTATGGACGAATTTTTGTGTGAATCCCCCTCTAGGGTTCGGCCAAGGGCTGAATATATGTGTTTTAGGAAGTTAATAACATACCTAATTAAGTTTGAATTCAGATTTCCTAGTCTAAATAGAAAAGGTAAGTGAATAAAGTCCAAATAATTTCAGAAAAAGGGGATGCACGAATTTAAACAAATAGGGAATGTCCTTGCCTTGCAAGGAATCAGAAATTAAACCCCTTGCACAGCAAGGAAAGGGGATTTAAGGTAAGAAACGAAATTGGTGCAAAAGAAGGAAGGAAAAGTCAATTCCTTGCAAGAAATCAGAAATTAGGACTTTAGGGAAAGTTTTAGAACTAGGAAAGTGAATTAAACTAGGAAATAAGAGTTTGAAATCAGGAAACATAAGGGGAGGTGCGGCATAAGGTTTAGGGAAAGGTAAGGCACCAAACAAGAGGTGTTAGAATAAGGGAAAGGTCCTAACACATGTGAAAAATAGGGAACTTTGCACAAAGAAAGGGAAACCACCTTCTTTGCACAGCAAGGAAGGGAAAATTTGCAAAGAACCTTTGTTTGTTGTCCAAGGGTGCTCGGGAGCCATCTTAAGTGCTAAAACTTAGAGCGTTCTTGATTTAGGAAAGGTCAACCAAAATAGGAAACTTTGGCTTAACTTTCCTACTTCAAGTAGGAATCCTTGTGTGATTAGGAATCCTCGTCCAACTAGGAATCCTCATGTGAGTGGGAAACCTCCTTCAATTTGGAAACCATCTCGTAATTGGAATCCTCATCGTAGTAGGAATCCTTGTCATAGTAGGAATCCTTGCGACATCAACTCTTCAATTTCGTCCATTCCTTTTGCTCCAAGCATAAGCTATCCAATTTGTGCCCAAAAGTGCTCCAAAATGCTCCAAAATGCATCCTTTCGCCAAATACGTCTTATGAACCTGAAAACACACAAAAGAAGCTTAAAGAACTAAAATAACTAAGAACTAATAACATAAATGTACGAAAACAAGCAAACTAAGTCGCATAAATATGCTCCTATCAATAACTGCTATACAAAATAACATAGAGGTTAATTATGGTCCCCTTGGCCATATATTAACTGACACACATAGGCTTCTACAACCTATCCAACAATGGAAAGCTAATTTTGTGTGACGTGGTGCCAATGAAGTGGCACACAGATTGGCTCGCCGTAGTCTTACTCTACAATAGCCAGTTTCGTGGTTTGAAGAACCTCCCGATTTAATTTCTAATCTTATTTTGGAGGATAATGTTCATTCTTAATTTAGTTGGTGCGAGACACTCTTTTTCCCTTCATTCGGGTTTTACCCGAGAAGGTTTTTGTTAAGACCCATTGTTAGCACCCTTTCCCATTATTTGTACGTTGATTTCCTTATGAAATGAATATCGTACTTGATTTAAAAAAAAAAAAAAAAAAAAAAAAAAAAACTAGTTGGGTAAGAGAGTAGGCACCTTCACCTGTCAAGTTAGCATTTAACAGATAAACTAACGGAAAATTTAACGAAGGTCTAACATTGCAATAAATTCTTAAGTTGATGTATGACATTGTAATGTTTAAAACATAAGATATGAGATTATGATACGACCTTTAATTGTGGTAATTTTGTATAATTTACCCTTAAATTTAGCTGCAACGCAGTATCTGTTTCCTGATTCTAAATTTGCAAGACTGTAGAACTCTGTGCTCCCTCATTTCACCGTCTTTCTCTTAGCAAGCTTCCTCTACTTAGCTGGACCAACTTTCCTCTCAGTGATGGCTTGGACCGAAGTTTAATCTTCAATAACATATTTATTCACCAAAGTAATCGAATCAAACCCCATCGTCTCTACCATTTAAAAAAATTAATCAAATCGGTGATTGGTTTGTCGGGGCAATCCGAGCTCCATCGCGTTAGGGTTGCAACATATTTGCAGAATTGAATAATAGCTATAATTTCTACAAATAAACACAAGTTTGAATTAAAAAAAAAAGGAAAAAAGAAAACCTGATCTGTTTGTTCAATACTCACCCCATAATCCATTACGCACCCACCCCATTACGCACCTCCCCAACGCAATCACCATACCCCTGCTATGCATGTAACAAAGCTTGACACGTGTTCAATCATACTAAAGCTTTTCAAAGCTATTTAACCAAAAAAACACTTCAGACTTGAAGAATAAAAAATGGATGCAGAAATGAGATGCAGATAAACCCCAATGTCCGTGAGCGGAGGTTGGGTTTGACGGAGGAGAGAACAAGAGAGATAGAGAGGCAGGGAGATGAGAGATAAACATAAGAGGGTAAGGAGAGAGAAAGGGAGTGAGAGACGTAGAAAATCGGAAGAGAAAGGAGTGGATAACGACGAGAGAGGGGAGGAGGTAAGGAAATGGATAAGTGAAGAGAGAAGGGTATAACAATTATCTTCTAACTAGCCTCAACCCATGTGGTATGTTCATTGACCTATGCATAATTATTATAAATATTTCATTGATTATGTCAACAAAAAATAAAATTGACCATTGAATTATGACTAATTAGTATAGATTTTATTGACCTTTAGCTAAATAACCTTTTATTTAAATTAGCCCAAAATTGAAGATTAGTTTCATCAAGTCTACTAAATTTTTATGAGGAATGCTAGAGATATCACATAATTGTATCACATTTGTGTACCATATAACTTGCCGCATTATAAACTACACTAATATTGTATAGAAATATGATCTCCTCTCATTTCCTAAATTTATTTAGACAAAGGGTACTAGTGCCTTTTTATTCCAAAGGGTACAATGGGTATTTCAAGAATACACATCAATTAGGTCAAAACTGCAATAACAAAATAACAAACTCTCACATTTTAATGTCTAATTTTATTCAGCTATATAGAGGTGGAGGTATGCATTGTGGAGCCAAAAATAATCTAAAAATCATTGAGACAACACGTGAATTTTTTTCCGAATAAGACAAGAATGCCCTCATTAAATGGGCAGGGCATGCAAATATTCCCACTTGCAGTTCAACATCCCTGAAGGCCTAAGCAGCTGAATACGGCATCACCAAGCTCCCTTGGGCATGGCATGAAGGAAAGGTCAAAGGAATTAAAAATATGATTAATCACCAAATCCTATCTTTAATACCATCTTGATTGAAGATCAACTCAAAAACAAGTAAGGAATCCTCATCACAATCAATCAAGGATATTTACTTCATCATGACAATATATTATCTTCTAATTAATATCTCTGAAATAATTCTTTCCTTATCCATCCTATGGATGACTCACTTTGGCCAAGGGGAAGTCGCCACGTGTAGAACAAGACCCTACACCAACGCCGGCCACCTACTTATGAATTCCTTATCTCCACCAAATTCTGGTAAGCTTTTTAGTATGCATACAAGCCCTAAATGCTCACTTTTTTCAGAGAAACTAATTTAGGCATTGGAGATCTATTTACCAAACCCCCAATCTCGTGGGCGCGTGTGGCTTTGGCCCTTGATCGAATGTGTTAATTGTTTTGTAAGTACCATTTCATCAAGACTGAAGACGACATAAAGTTACTATCACAATTGGTGCTTTCATTGAGTGCCCGATTTAACGCTTGAAAAAGGCTCTTGCATTCCCTTTTCCAATTTCATATTACATATGTCACACACCAAAAATCAAGATGTGAAATTAAGAGAAATAAATAGAACCAAGTGGTTGTTTAAGAGTGTAAAACAAATATTAACTAAATATTATGTCAATGAAAAATTTAAACTCAACAAATATATTAAACCAAACTACAAAGGTAACTTTAAGAATTAGAGTTAAGGACTTTTTGCTATAATACAAACTGTAGAAACGATCTGTACAGTAAAATTCACTAAAAATAACTCGTCAAATCAAAATGTATGAAAATTTCCAGATCCAAAGTAGACATATAACGCTAACTTGTTTAAAAATTTCATAGGTTTTTGAGTTCGGGAAGTACAGTAAAATTTAAGTCCAAGACAGTTATGTTGCTGTTTATTTTTCAGGAAAAAAAAAAAACTTCAGCAGCCTCAATCACTTTAAAAGTCTTTGGAAATGAAATCGATTCCATTCTAAGAAAAGTGAAAATAAATAGTAGATAATCGGCCACAAGTTTGAATATAACCAAATTTCATAATGGTTCTCAAAATGTAACAGATCAAGCCTCACAGATTTTAACGAGTTCCCCAAAGAAACTTCAAGGCTTCTTACAAGAAAAACATGATCAGGTGATTTGATGAAAAAATAAACATGAGCAGAAATTATAAAAGCCAAAAGACAAGTGATCAAATGTTACATGGTTCATATTGCCCGGGTAAGTGGAGACTCATTGTGGCCTATGTCATCTTAATTTACAATGCTACAAAAGGATCATTTACAGACTAAGACTAACTAGACAAAATACTTTCACAGCTCACCCAAAAGATATATACATCAGGACTCCTTTCTACTAGTCCACAATAGAGCTGTAACTCAAAACTCAGGTAGTTAACCTTACACCACCTGAAAATACATTTTCAGAAAAACAGGTGATCATAAAATGCCCAGTAGGGGTTTTCCGGTAAGTCCGTAGTCATTTAAATTCTTGGTGCATGCCGAAAAATGATAAGAGCAATTAAGGAACATTCACATCCACTAATATGTAATTCAACAACGAAAATATGCTCTAAAAATGCTTGGAAATAAACATACAGTAGAAAAACCGAACTTTCAGAGCACTAGTAGCTTTGATAACAACACGGTACACCATTGTTCAAAAGCATTTCTTTTGTTTTAAGAACTACGGAGCATTATCATTTAAAGAAAAATAGCACAACTAATCACAAACATTTTCTTTTATCCGAAACAAGTGACTAGCGGATTGAAAAGAATTGTAGTATACCTAGCCAATATACATATCACACATATTTATAACATTGATAACTCATTCTCGTAGCCCACACATGGAGCTTCCCTCGGGGAACATTGGGTCATTGTGCCCATTATCTAACAATTTCATGGATCATTGTACCCATTCATACATTTCTCAACATTCTCATTGCACATGTATTATACTACTTTCCATCTACTTTCACAATCAAACATTCATCTCAACATGCTTCAAAATTTCATAATGAGTAAAATAAAAGGCATGCACATCAAAACGTAATCTTGAAAAACCTTTTTACTTTAAACACACCATAGTTGTAGAAAGAAAATTAGAGTCATTAGAATCAAACCATATTGAAACATCTGCTTCATTTCTTTCACATAGTCGAAAACGGAACAGCATTTTAGTAAGCTCGAAATGGAGCTAGAACGCCAACAATTCCTTCATCAAACCAAAAGGAAAAAATCCAAATAAAAACCAAATATATTTTATATTAAAACACCCCTACCTCAACAAAATTTGTTGATGTTCTACTCCCATGGTGTTTGTCGATCTGCTCCGTAGTCACCTGATATCCTTCTCTTCCTTATCTATGAGTAAGAAAAATACCAGACAAACTGACCCTAATTCAAGGTTAATTGGGAACTTTAATCAAGAACTTAGTGCTCATCTTTAAAACTATAACATGGAAAATGATACTTTCAATTTTCCTACTACCACCAAATCTAATTCAAAGGTTTATTAACCAAATAACAAATAAATTTCAATACAAGAAATAAATACCTCTAATGGAGATGAAGAAAGGAATCTGACCAGTCCAAATCTGCACAAGCAAAGGAAAAGATAACTAAGTTCCTCCTCCTAAAATTTTGGCAAGAGCTAAAAGAGAAGAACCTCTTCATCTCCCTCGGTTGAAGAAGAAAGCAGTAGAAAGAGTGTTGAAGGAGATCGAGCTAAGAATGGAATGTAGAATCTGTCAATATTGTAAATGACTTGTTTCCTTATTTGTAGATGACTTAGCTTGATTGTAGGAACCATATTAGGTTGCTTCTGTAACTATAGGTTGGTGGCTCCACCTCTTGAGTAAATACAAATCAATTGCATATCAATTTCTTACATGATATCAGAGCATTGATCTGGGCAACACAACAAAACCCTAGCCAACCTCCATGGCAGAGAACAAACCATCAGGCACGGCTTCGGGAACCAAGTGGGATAATCCCAATCACCAACTATACCTTCATCATTCAGACCAACCCGGTGCTATCCTTGTGCCGCAGCCCTTGGTCGAAGATAATTACAGCACATGGAGACAATCCATGACTATGGCCTTAACGGTCAAGAACAAAATCGGACTCGTGGACGGTTCGATCGTGGAGCCGAATGGACAGGATCCAAATGAATGGCAGTAGTGGAATCGCTGCAATAAATTGGTCCAAACTTGGCTGCTAGGGTCGATGTCGAAAGACATCGCCAGCAGCATGATTAATTGCAAGAATGCTAGGCAGATGTGGCTAGAATTGCAGGAGAGATTCTCACATGTGAACGTGGTTCAACTGTTCAATATCGAGAACGAGATTCATGATTGTGTGCAGGGAAGTATGTATGTGGGATCTTACTTCACGAAATTGAAGGGACTATGGGACGAACGTGATGCTTTGTGCACTTTCCCGATCTGCACCTGTGGATCAGTCAAGGAAGTGGCTGTATACTTGGACACGCAGAAGACCATGAAGTTTCTTATGGGTCTCAGTGAATCATATGCAAGTGTTCGTAGCAACACTTTACTGCAAGATCCTTTACCAACCGTGAACAAAGCATACTCTCTTGTACTACGACATGAAAAACAATCGAAAGTAACAACGAATAAAGCTCAGGCACAACCAGATGCGGCCGTGTTTGCCGTAAAGAGATCCAGCCGTGAAACCGAAGGAGAAAAGGGTGAGTTGAAGTGCACCAAGTGTAACAAAACAAACCACACTGCCAAGAATTGCCGTGCACACCTAAAATGTGCATTTTGCGGATGGAAGGGTCATACTGAAGGAAAATTTGTGAAAAACATGTTCATTTAAGCAACATCAATAGCATGCAATTAACAATTAAAGGCGGAATCATGCTTGTATGCACTTAAAACAAAACATTTACCCATGAAATTCAAAGCCTAGTAGATAGGTGAATCAAGACTCAACTCAAAAATAAAGTGAGTTGAGAAATCAATACCTTTGTAGATTCTTCTTTGCATAAGCAAAGGCTAATCACCCAAAGAGAGGGCCTTCATTCCTTGCATCTTGGATCCATGGATTTGGATGGATGAAAAGGTTTCTCCAAGTTCCCAAAATTGAGAACCTCTAAGTCTCCACACCAAGGTATATTGAAGAAGAAATGAGTGACCTAGAGGAAGTAAGATTGCTAGGTTTTCCCCTCTAGATTGGCCAAAATTTTTGAGAGAAAATGAGAGCTTGTGTTCTCATCCTTTCCCCAAAAATAACCCTTAGTAAATTTTAGGCTATAAAGTCCTTTATATAGTCCCTTCAAATAAGTGACCTAATGGACCAAAAGCCCTATTCTTTTACACATGGCTAGCCTATAGGTTTATTGGGCTTTCAAGCCCTTTGTTTTATTCAAGTTGTCATACAACTTGAGTTAATGGGCTTGACATTCAAATCCCATTGGGCCTTGCGGCCCAAAACTAACCCGAGGTCTTTAACGAACTTATTCGTTTGATTAATTAACATATTAATTAATCCTAGCCTTAGATAAATAATTAAACCATTTAATTATTCTTACTCATCTCCGTTGAATCTTCAAACTCTACCTTACACGGTGTACGATCCATTAGGTTCCTTTTAGCGAGGCAGTGGGCGATTCAAACTCTTTCAAATCGATTGTGAATTGAAACTTACTTTCAATTCTCCCGTTAGTGATAATACACTTTTAGGGCTTCCACAAACCATGAGTGACACCTAGCAGCATATCATGGTTACCCAAGCTAATCAGAAGAGGTGGAGAACCTATTCAGTTTAGGATTACAAATGCAATACGGTCTTTCTCTAATACAATACTCTTGACCACATTGTTTGGTTTGATAGTTTATTCATGTCTACTATCCAATGTGAATCTTGTGCTTATATGATTACCTTGAATGTGATCTGGAACGCATTCCAACATTTCATTCATACTCTGGCCAGAGATTCCAAATCATATCATAGAGTATTCTCCCTCAAACAGTTTGAAGGTTAGAGATCCCTTGTTGCGCATTCACTTGCCTCCATGGCTAAGTGGCTTAACCCCGACGATGCCGTGGACACCCTGATAGAGTGACTTTGACATAATCAAAGATTAAGGACCTAACCACAAGACAACTGTGATGCCTCAGGTCAAAAGACTAATTTGCATTATCCCAACCATGAGTTCTCATGTGACATGAATATGAGAACTCTTCGTTGATCGTGTTCAGTGAACTCATTCTCTATTGAGCACCTACGTACTTGTCTTGATGTCACACACACCAAATGACTCGAGACTAGTCACTCTCCCTGAGAGAAGACATAGCACGTACTGATCTTAACGGACTGTTAATGCCCAATTGACAATCCTATGATCAGGAACGTTTAGGATGTGTCAACGAAAGAATGGTCTCATGAATCTAACTTCTTTAGATCGCATTCTTCCAATCACATATTCCTTGGACTTATCGTTTAAGCATATAACATTTATATTAGACGGCTCAAACAATAATCTTTGCCCTTTAAACTACATTAGTTTGAAATGTCCGTAAAGTATCATCATATGATTGGTTTTAGGGCACATTTCCAACAATCTCCCACTTGCACTAGAGCCAATCAGCTTAGTCATCATATGATTGTACCTCTTCTGTAATTCATTTCATAAATGGCTGAGTAGTAGGCCTAAACAATGGATATCTATATGTTATCCATAGAAGCAACCTTGAGAATAACGACTTCACCATTATACATGATTCTCAATCATGTGGTTCAGTCTCTCATTTAGTTCGGACCTTGATGAGACCTTGATTCCCTGGCTTGAGCTATCGCCCCATTAGTGTCATACACTTTCTGGTTGGAACCGAATGAAGAGTTCATGAATGAACTTTCCCATCCAAACAACATTGTTGTAAGCTTCTATATGGCAATATATTTTGCATACATGATGAAACACATTAAAGTCATTTACTTTTAACGTTTCCACCCAAATATCTCTTTAGTCATAATAAAGAGATATCTCTTTATCACTTCATTCATAATGAAGAGATATTCTATGATGGATTAGATTCATAATCTAATACATTTACGCTTCCATTACGTTACTCTAATTCTTCCTCATTCTTGAGGAATCCATCCTTAGTATTTCTTAAATACCTAAGGATTCACTTGACAGTTGCCATGGTTCTGATCCTGGGCTTGCACTGATATCATCTTGTACCGTTCTAGGTACGACTTATATCAATGTTTTCATACAATATGAAATACATAAATCACCTTTCTGCGTATGCATAAAGGATTCTATTTACGCATTATTTCTTTGGGAGTCAAAGGGTACTTTCCCTTTGAGAAGAACAACTTCCTAGTCTCACTAGAATTGTCATTCTAATTGAAGTTTATCATCATATGAGAAACTTTCTAGCATCTCATTGTCTATTTTAGGGATTGATATAATCCAATTATATCTTGAAATCTATCATTATAGATTTCCATCCCATTATATAGACTATGTCTCCCATATACATTCTATCATTATAGAATGTTTTAAAGTCATAACTTTAACGATGAAGAATTCCTTTCATTTTCAAAATTAATATATATCATGTATATATATTCAAATTTAGGAATATGATCAACTCCCACTAATCTTTTGTAAACCTAGTAAACAAAAGATTCATTTACATCTTTATGAGAAATCAAACAATTTATCTTTTCTCATAAGACGCTTATGGCTCCCACTAGCTTGCTAAGATCCATGATGGATGGATCTCTACAACTAACATGTCTTAGAAGTATATATCATGTATATATATGGGTAATTGATAATGTCCAACGAACTAAATCTTATTTATGTTCATTCTTCTCCTAATGGAGAAATACATTATCTTACGATGCTACTTTCCTTGATATTTTTCAAGGAAATTAATCTAAAGTGTTACTTTTTCCTTGGATCAAATCTAAGGAGGTAAATACTTTAGACGTCTTACTCATCTACTTACATTTCTTGAATTCTTTGAAACTTTTTGCAAAGTATTCGGACTTGTGTTTATTCAAAATAAACTATAGTCCAACCGAGAGTGATCTTCGGTGAATGTCATACAACATGAGTAGTATTATGTTGTGGACAATTGCCACTAACATCTAAGTGAATCAACCTCAACAACTTTGTGATTCTTTATTCTTTCCAAAAGAATAAAGATTCGAACATTTCGCCTCTATACAATTTTAACAAGAAGGTATTGGATCCGGATCTAACGATCCAAAGCATCCATCTATGACCAACTCGTAACTTATGTTTTAGAGGTATCACAACTCAGTTGGGATTAGTCACTACCTTGCAACCTTTTGGGTTTTAAGCATCATCGTATTCTAAACAGTTAAACTACCACATCATCTCTACTATAGAGACAACCAATTACAATAATCTAATTATTGATTAATAAAGAACAATGTTTTTGTCAAACAAAACATTTATCCATCTCTATTATAGTGACGGATTTAAGTTCCTTAAAATTGGAATGTAAAGACAATCTTTAGTATTTTCCAATTTCTTTGGTAGTTCATATGAGGAAGTAAGTACAATCCGCTTTCGCAGAGATCTATATTCGATTCACGTTTGGAATGTGAAGTACTTTCTCTTCTCTCATATATCTTCTACTTCTTATTAGCACACTTTTACAACAATTGTAAAACATAGTTACTAATACAGAATCATGCATTCAAGTA